TGAAGGTCGCATGGATTCCAGTCAGTATCAGCAAATTCTTGCGAACAATGTTCAAGAATCAGTGACAAAGTTGAAGTTGCGCCGGGGCTGGATACTTCAACAAGACAACGACCCTAAATACTGCTCAAATTCTACCAAAGCATTCATGCAGAGGAACAAGTACAACGTTCTGGAATGGCCATCTCAGTCCCCAGACCTGAATATCATTGAAAATCTGTGGTCTGTTTTAAAGCAGGCTGTCCATGCTCRGAAACCATCAAACCTGACTGAACTGGAGATGTTTTGTAAAGAAGAATGGTCAAAAATACCTTCAACCAGAATCCAGACCCTCATTGGAAGCTATAGGAAGCGTTTAGAGGCTGTTATTTCTGCACAAGGAGGATCTACTAAATATTGATGTAATTTTTCTGTTGGGGTGCCCAAATTTATGCACCTGCCTACTTTTGTTTAAGTAATTATTGCACACTTTCTGTAAATCCTATAAACTTCATTTCACTTCTAAAATATCACTATGTTTGTCTGCTATATGATATATTTAATTGAAATTGCTGTTCCGAACAACCAACGATACATAAAGGAAAATCTTGAAAATGATCAGGGGTGCCCAAACTTTTTCATACCACTGTATATATATATATATATTTTTTTTTTCTCATAAAAAAAAAAATCTACTTATCCACATAGTTTGCACATAGGTTTATAAAGGGCTGGTGTGAATTACTGGCTGAAATGCAGATGAGAGGGAACTTTGTAACAGGGCTCGATTACTTTCCCTGCGTTATCAACCACAGCGAGCGGCCACGGTAAATGGTGGCTTTAATTCTGCAGCGAGGTGGGAACTCGTTTTTTCCTTGTCAAAAACTCAGCGTTATTTCAAATGTTAGTGGACATCGCTCTGGTGACTTCGTTTCAAAGGAGTCGGCATGTTCGATGTGCTAGCTTGTCAGCAGAACATCTGGTCATACGCTAAAGTTGTCCCTTTGAATTTGAGATGCATACAAAAGTTCCGCACGTGGACTTGCTACACGTGCGTACTGAACCGAAAGGCCTGCACTGGAAACATTCGGTTTGGATGATGTACCGTTACAATCCTACTTTGCAAAGATGCAGCTGGTAGAAATAGCCCGCAGAGGGGTACTTTTCACTTATATATTACATTTATACAGTACATTTCAGTCTTTTATGCTTGTACTTGAATAAATAGGTTAAATCAATACATATTTTTCTTGAGTCATTTCTGACAAAAGTATCTCTGCTTCTACTTGAGTAAAGAGTGTGTGTACTTTTGCCACCCTTTTATGTGACTTCCAATCATTCCTTTTTAATGGTAAAGCAATGAAATTCGCCATGCTGCCACGATTAAACCATGTGATGTAAAATTATAAATTTCACAATGAGTGATCTAGTGTTGTCACGATACCGAAATGTTTATTCCAAGTCATGAATTTCGACAGTTACTTTTCCTTTAAAGGTCCAGTGTGTAAGATTTAGGTGAAAGGAAACTATTGGCAGAAATTTAATGTAGAATAATCCGCATGATGTTTTCACTAGTTCGTTTCATCTAATTTGTATGAATTGTAGTTTTCTTTACCCCAGAAAAGACCATTTATATTCAAATACTTTATATTCACATCGAGGGGGTCCTCTCATGGAGGCTGCCATGTTTTTTTACATTAGTCCAGACTGGACAAACTAAACACCTTTTGAGTTTTAATGACAATTAAAGGCAACTCAGTTTCTTTTTCATGTTTGGAAGGAGAGGGTGAGGGGTGTTCAGCTGCAAAATGCAATTTTACCACTAGATATCTCACAATTCTACACACTGTACCTGTGTGTCTTTATCTGAGCCAATGTCACCTGACTTCTGTAGGGGGAAAAGGGTCAGAAAAGCCTGCATACAGTGGAAGTATAGCATTGCACACAGGAAATATACGGCTCTTAACTAAACGCTGTCACCCTGGGCACACTGGCCGCAGAACAGCTGCTGTTCAGCGGTGCACTTCTTGACAATTTTGTTTTCATGGTCCATGCCCGGTTCACAGTTTAACAAAGAAAATTATCTGTATGCACAGTTTCAGTGTTTATCTGTCAAGGGTCACAAACGTAAATGTTTGCAACGCTTCCTGTAGGACAGTAAAAGCACTCTAGTGCAGTGGTGTCAAACCCAATCACAGAGAGGGCCAACATTTAAAACTGGGACTACATCGAGGGCCAAACAGGGTCCACATTTATTAAACAGGATAGACAGGATATTGGATTAAAAAAAAGAAGGAAAGAGAGAGAGAGATAAGCCTGAGAGACATGGTGAACTTGATGGGGCAGGCACTGGGAACTCTGGAACGCTGGAAAAATCATTTTATATTGTATTGAGAGGTGAGCCGGTCTGATTGGATGGCATGTTGCAGGGGCTCATGGGAGTGTTGTGTGTTTTGCCATTTTGGATGATGTTTTGTCTATATTCAGACTTGGTTCATGTTGGTTTTGTGTATTTGTGTTTGTTGGGTGGTAATGTTGTGTTTAAGTTCACTTGTGTGTTCACCAGGACTGTGGGATGTGGTGTCTGTTGTGGGGTCCAGCCGCTGTTCAAGAGAAATGTGTTATGTTAGTGTTCAATAAATCAATCAAGCTTGCTTTCATGCTGTGTATGGGAGGCAAGTTGTGAATTTCCCCACTGAGGGACAATAAAGGAAATCTAAATCTAAGTGTTTGAAAGACAGTTCCCTGGTTAAGTCTCATCATTCTCTCACACACTCACCACAATATCATCAAATACTTTGTGGAGAGGAGTGCTCGCTCCATGTGCGTCGAGTCAGGCTTTGGTCAATGGAGTGCATCCATCTGATCCTGAAGAGACCTTAAGAGAGTGGGAGAGAAAACGTGTCCAAGCGATACAAGAGTGAAGGAATGCAAAAGTTCCTTGAAGAGGCCACTACACTGAAAACCAAAGTAAAAATTTGAAATCACAAGCTGATCCAACTTGCGCAAATTTCATCATAACTCATAATGTGACTCAGTAGTGAGTATGGCCCCAGCATGCCTGTATGCACTCCCGACAATGTCTGGACATGTTCCTGATGATTCGGCGGAGGATCTCCTCTCACACCTAGATCAGGGCATTGTTGAGCTCCTTGACAGTCTGTGACAACACTTGCTGGTGTATCGATACACTGATACATAGATCCCATAGATGCTTAATCAGATTTAGGTTAGGGGAGCGTGAGGGCCATTTAATGGCATCAATCCAGGAACTGCCTACACACTCAGGCAGGGCATTGTACTGCACCAGGAGGAACCCAGGGCCCACTGCACAAGCGTAAGGTCTGACTTCATCCCAGTACTTAACAGCAGTCAGGGTACCGTTGGCTATAACATGGAAATCTGTGTGACCCTCCAAGGTTATGCCTCCCTAGACCATCACTGCCTGCCGCCAAACAGGTCTTGCTGGATGATATCACAGGCAGCACAATGTTCACCTCTTTCACACCTGTCACATGTGCTTAATGTGAACCTGCTTTCATCTTTGAAGAGCAATGAGGTTTGACCAGAAGTTCCCTTCTACGGCCCTGTCCAGCTTTCCTCACAGCAAACCTGCTTAAGACCGCACATATGAATATTTTAACCTGAGGGACCTGGACTACCTGTGCAACCTGATTGGGCTGGAGGTACCGCCTCATAATACCAGTTGTGACAAGGACACTAGAGAAACACAAAACTAGAGAAGATTCAGTCAAGAAGGATAAGGAGAGAGTGATTGTCTGTGGCCACCACATGCAGAACCATTCCCTTTTTTGGGGGTTATCCTGCTTTTGCCTCTCAATCTGTTGTCACTTAAATTAGCACCAAAGCAGGTGAAACTGATTCACTTGTGCTGCCTAAATAGACAGATTGATATCCCTGAAATTTAACTGACTTAGTCGTATACTGTGATGATTAAATGTACCCTTAATTTGTTTTGAGCTGTGTACTTTCGCAGATTTCCGAGACTAAAATTACACTTAAATTATGAGAAACATTGTATCCTAAGCTGCTTTCTGACATGCACTGAACTCTAGAGTTTCTGTACATTTTCCCTGTAGGAGTTGCACAAAACATAATGTCTGAGTGAGACCCTCTGGGTTATCTGTGGACTTTTTCTGTATGGCCCCTTAGTGTAAAGTCAGCATAGATTTGGTAGAATGCACAACAAGAGATCCCTGTTGGATTCACTGCCATTGGGGGGGGGGGGGGGGGGGTTGATGATGCTTCTAACACGATGGATGCAAAAATTAAAAAAAGAAAACAAATATATCCAGGTGAAAAAGCAGTGCCACACACTTATAAGACTCTACAAAGATGTCATGACAGTTTGTGGTGATAAGAGTAGACAATTTTGTGGATTTGCTGTAAACCAAATCCTGTGATTTCCACAGCAGAATCGATATGTTACCTGCCTCTGCCTGCTGCACGCGGCACCGACTGAATAATGCGGATTTGTTTGCAATAAAAATCTGCTCTGTCAGTAAAATTGTTTAGGTCATGAATCCAAACAATTTGTAAAACAATGGCATGACATTATATGGATTTTCCTACACTGGCAATGTTTTTAAAATAAACAACAGAGTTGTGCTTTACTCCAGTCAAATGTTCAGTGTGTGCCTTTTACCAGGTAGTTGGCAACATCATTTTGTAACTTATTGTATGGTAATTGTTAAAAAGCATGACCTTTTGTATTTCTTTGCAGCAGATATTTTCTACTTTGTGCATTAATTTGCAGTTTCCAGTGTATATAGTAATTTACAATTTAGCCAGTCATGCAGAGACATTATATAGTAACAATGTTACTTATCATTCGGAAACATAATCTTGGGGGATATTGTTTCTTCCAAAATCCATGTATTGATTAAACAATACATTTGTTAACTCACATTTACTCACGGACCTTTTCATAAGAAAGCCAAACAGTGTGGGATAGGAGTTAAATCTGAGGAGCTTGTTCAAACCCATTGCATTTGTTTCAACAGGTGGTATGGGCAAGAAAAGGACTACAATGTCCTAGTCATGGACCTGCTTGGACCCAGTCTTGAAGATCTGTTCAATTTCTGCTCTCGCCGCTTCACCATGAAGACTGTCCTTATGCTGGCAGACCAGGTACCTTAAGCATACAAACATCCACCACTATGTAATCTTATTAAGTAAATGGTTTGTAATTATTTAGCGCTTTTCTAGTCTTGGCAACCACTCAAAGCGCTTCACAGAACCCATTCATGCACACACATTCATACAGTGCATCTAGAAGTATTCAAATATAAAGGGCCTTTTCTGGAGTAAAGAAAACTACAATTCATATAATTTAGATGAAAGGAACTAGTGAAAACAACATGAGGGTTATTCTACATTAAATTTATAGTTACATTTCACCTAAATCTTACACACTGGACCTGTAACGAATACTTTTTTTTTTGCTTATACTTTCCATATACTTAATGCAGTGTTCCAGACTTTTTTCACTAGTAGCACAGGGGCTCCTTACTGAACATTTTAGGGGCACCAGCAAAAAATATAGGTGCACCACATAAAATGAGATACAGCGCAGCACTTTTTTCCCGTCTTAACTGTTACCACTGATAAATGTTTTGGTGATAAATAAAAATTAAGCTACAACAAAACAAGGAACTTCCTCTTACAGAATGCCTCTCCTTACCTTCCATTTATAGCACATCCCCCCGAGGACCACTAGGGCCTGGCTCCAACCCTTTTAGTTGGGACTCTAGCTCTTTTGCCCTCACTGAACCTTATCTGTACAGCCTCCTTGGCATCATCCTCCTCCAAGCTAGTTCCCTCAAGATTTATTCTAATCAGGTCCTCCACTGTGTCAACATGCAGGACCCTCTGACATCAGATTTAGTCTCTTTCTTTGCTGAGAATCCTGAGACATTATTCTGTACTTTTATTGTTTTTACTTTAAGTACATGCTGATAATGGTGGGGTATCACCACTGATGGAATAAGATTAAACATTTTGCACAGGGTATGTGTAACCAGCTCGGTAAACAGGATGGGACGGTTATGATTTAGATGACAAACTTACAATCACGTATTTAGTTATTAGTCAATGGTGTCGTATCTTGAGCCGTGTCACATTTCGTGTTGTCCTGAGTAGGGATGGGCATGATCAATCGACAAATCGATAATTGATCGTTAATAATTTCGTCGATCACGTTATTTTTTTATCGATAAAATGCTTGAATAATGCGAATAATGTGCGGCGGTATCTATGCACCCCGGCAACGTCAGTCCCCTCAGAGCGGGTGTTTTCGGCGGCTGGACTGACAGTCACCAGGCTGCGTTCGCGTCTCAGGTTGTGAGTTTAATAACAGCTTCCTGAGAGCTCGATCTATGAACTGGAGGTGACTCGACCAGAAAACGTCCCCTGTAAAACTGGTGCTCCCTCAGTGATGTTTAAACAACAACAAGCCTTTGTCACACATTGCCTGGAAGTCATGATGATTCTTAAGGTGTGTATGTTACATGTTTTTCTTTAATTTAGTATTTTTTAAACCACAGTATCAAATCAGAACGTAAATAAAAATGATGTGGACTCCGGTTCGGGAAAGTGACGCCAGTACTGAAGCACCTGAAAAGTTATTTCCTCCTGACTTCGTAGACTTCGTCATCTGCAGGATTTAATGTGCGGAGGTACCTATGCATCCCGGCACCGTCAGTCCGCTCAGAGCAGGTGTTTTCGGCGGCTGGACTGACGGTCAACAGGCTGCGGTCGCGTCTGACCCCTGTCAGATTTTTTTAATTATTATTATTTTGGAACAAACGAGGGTCAATTGTCTTAAAGAGCGCCGGCTTGCAGCTGCAGGCTCCTCTGCTTTAGAGCACCGCAGCGCACATCTTCAAGTCTAACCATTGAATGTCAGTTTAACTGCCACAAAAGTTGTTCTTCTCGTAATAAAGATTTCATCCAGGAAAAACACGCTGTATTTTGTATTTTCATGCATTTTTAATATATAAAAAGCTAAATATTGTATTTTAATTAATAAAAAAAATTAATGATTAATTGATCGTTAATTCTCCCGAAAATTTAATCGAATGCCCACCCCTAGTCCTGAGTGAGCACAAAATGTTGACAACTAATTATTCAATATGTTTAAATGCAGCCTCATAAATTGCGCGTGTGCTCGCTTCTGTCATTTCACGTGGTAGATCATTCAACACTGATTTTAACATAAACATAGGCATATTTGGAACTCACAGTGGTGTGCCTAGTTAAAAGATTTAGTCACACTGTTTGCTAAATTGTCACAAAATGCTACTAAATGGCCGTGAGTCTGGAGCCCTGTCATGGTAATGAGATTTCTTTTGAAGGATTAATGCAGCCTGGCATATGTCATAGATTAGCAACATCAACTTTCTTGCATCATTATTATTTTGTATTGTCACATTTAAAAAAACAAACAAAAACACTACCTTCTCAACACACACACCCACCTACTCTACTCCCTCAGCCGCCCATATATTATTTATCAGATTTTTCTACCTCTTGATACTGTCATAACTGGACACATAGACATACACATACAAAACCCAATTAGGAGGGTCATATTTATTACTTTTGCAGTTTCTGTTAAAGGCTCAATATACGAGCATTAATATACGCTAAGAAAGTTATGCAACTTTTATCTATTCAATGCACAATATTTACATAAATATCAATTCATATTTACAGCATCTGTTCCATGCACAATATTTATCTCCTCAGTTCAACAATATGTTCTGCACAAGAGCTGCTACTGCAGCACACTGTTTTTGCATCTCGGCTTTGCCTGGAACATGTCCATAAATATGACTATTTTCTTGGATAAATACAAGTACTATACAGTATGAAGACGTGCATCTTCTGCTCCTGCAAATATTTCACAATAAACTTGCTTTTTTTAAAACAAAAGAATGGATTCGGTCAACATAAGCGCTGGAGTGCTTTTATTTTTCCCATACAGAAAGTGTTGCAATCATTAATGTTTGTGACATACATTCATCAGATAAACATTAAAACTCAACTTAAAGATAATTTTCTCTGTTTATTCTGTTGTGAAACATTATGTTTATCTGTCTATATCACAAATGTGCGCATTTCCAACACTCCCGGAATCCATTTCAAAGTAGTAGCACTCCAGTGTTTCATTTTCTGAATCCATTAATTTGTTCTAACAGGGCTTTGATTGTTATTGACAGACCGGGAGATGCAGCTCTTTATACTTTATAGTCCTGGTGTTTAGTACCTAATCCGACTTGTATAAAAGGTAATACAGTAGATAAACCAGTAGCTCTGCCACTAGTAGTGGACACTCTGCATTTGTGAATAACAGACAACAGACACACAGCTGATCTGCGGTGCAACACAACCGCAGCCAGTGACTCCAGATAGTTACAGGGAACCACAGTGAAGACTGTCGAGTTTGGACCAGTCACTGTTAAAAAGAAACATGCGTAAAGATTTTATATTTGGTTCATCATATGCACATGCATTTGCATGTCATGTTTGTGTGTATGTGTGGTTGAATTGGTGGTAGTGTGTGTGAGAGAGACCAAGTGAGAAATACAGAGAGCATGGCGGTGTAACAATTGCACAATGTCATTTGTCAATTTTTTTCCCTTGGTTTAACACACACAGGTTTTTTACTTACCCCACTTTGATGTCCATATCAACACACACATCCTTTCAGATGATGTTATCTATAGTATTGTAATGTAAATTTGAAGCTATGACCTCAGAATGAAAGCATAAAAAAGGTATATTGCAGGATTTTGTGTTCTAATGGGGACGTTTTTGCTGAAAGGTAGTATTTTCATATACAACTTTTACATATTGAAAAAAAAGATATATCATAGCAAAAGAAGTTGAAATTTCAAAGATGAGAATATAAAAACGGAAAAAGAAAAAACCTGAGAACAGTGAATATCTTTTTAAAATATTTAACTATGATCTTTTCTCTTCAACTTCAGATGATCAGCAGAATTGAGTATGTACACACAAAGAACTTCATCCATAGGGACATCAAACCAGACAACTTTCTCATGGGCATTGGTCGTCATTGTAATAAGGTAAGACCTCTCTGCATCCTAAACATAGTAGTATGGATTATCTATATAGAGCTGTTGGAATATCAGGCGACCCATATAAACTCCACAGCCCAAGTACTAAAATAACATACAAGTTTATCTTCATAAATGATGATCTCTTCATGCTAATGTTAATATCTTCTATCAGCTGTACCTTATATGGCTGAATCTCCATTACTGCTGTATTAGAAAAACCTTATTTGTTACTTGGTCCTAGTATGTTTTTGTAAACATTATCAAAAGTCCTAGTATATTGATAGCAACATTGCTTGGACTTCACACAACAACAGCAATACATGTTTAAGCATAAATAGTCTAAAAAAGATAGAACATGATTTTTAAAATTATTTATTTGTATTAAAATGAGAATTAGTTCTTTCAATGTCTTATTATAGGCAAAATGTCAGGTTTCATTGTCAAATCAGTTTTTATAATCTCTGCAATCTATCACATCAAAATGTCAATGCAGACCTGCATGTAATCTACACTAGGGCTGCACTTTATACTGAAAATCTATCACCATCGCGATATCAACGTGTGCTTTAGAAGTATCTCATAAGACTGCAAAACAGCGATAAATTGTGTTTAATCCGCTGTGCATTCACGCTCTGTATTTCAATATATCTGGCTAATCAGACGGAGCCCTGCTGCCCTATATGATAAATTAAAGAAGTTCAGACCATTGATGGGTTTTTCCATTTTCTGTCAGAAGAAGAGAAAACAGAATTTGAAAACAGATTTCGCTCCGTCAAATCTTGCTCCGCTGCCTTCAATTAAACTCTACTGTGGAAACTTCTAGTGATCACAAATGTCCCGGTTCAGAATCATCACTACGAGCGGTTGATTATATAAAAGAATTGTGAGGCTTATTTATGATCAAAGAACGTGAGGGAAAAGCACAGAGACACACCAACACACGTGTCTGTGTCTCTCTCTCTGCTGATATTTCTGACTCGCTACAGTTTAAATGTTAAATTTGTCGCCACAATATCAACACTGATCATTACATAATGATTGATACTTTCATTAATGAGTTCAGTCTTTCTTTAGAGCAGCGCCTGCATTCATTAACTGTCCTGCTCGCTCTTTTCCTCCCCCTCTCTCTCCCACACATACACAATGTGATTGGACACATGTATGAACTCAGTCTTAGTAAAAAACAGCAGACTTCATAAACTTAGTAAATGTATGAAGAGCTGGAGGAGATGGCGGCATGCTCCATATAGTTTGACACAGTTGGCACAGCGTGAATGACACCGCCCACACATGTATGAACATAACATTTTAAGTGGACATAATGAAGCTGTGCATGACCCGCTGGTGTCTGCCCCCGACCTGGTGGTGCTGCGGCCTGGCGGTGAGCCCTCTCCCAGCTGTGGAGCTGTCTGTGATCTCTGCGTCAGTAGCCAGGGACTGTTTATGTTTATTTATCGCAAGTCATATTATCGTTGCGATTTTAAACAATGTTATTGCATATTGCATGATTTCCTAATATCGTGCAGCCCTACACTACATAGACATAAACAAAGATTTTCAGAATTGCAAGTTTATGTCTGTGGTTGTACTGTTGACCTTCAAAGGCTGCACCTCATACATGCTAAAACTGACATGTGATTGATCATTTGACAACATAAAATGGTCCCTAATCTTGAAGACTGGGTTATATATATTCATATCAGTAATGAAACGAAAATGTTAATGGCAAGTGATTTGTTGCTTTTTCACAAAGGCAGACAAAGCTATTGATTCAAAGAGATGGATGGATGAATTTGAAGAAAAAATCAATCAAACAATTTTCAGAAACTTGGTTCACTCTCAGAAACTCTCAATAATATGTTGCAGATTGAGGCTGCTTTACTTTCACCTCATGTCCACTTAATCTCAAATCAACTCCATGAGCTTTAAGTTTGGAGACGGTGCTGTCCTTTACCATGTAAATTATTATTGTTGCAGGATAAAGCCCTGTGGTCTTGACACATATTTTTTTTCTTAAATAGCACCTAAGTTGCAATATTTAAAAATAATAAAGCATTTTGAAGACGCAATGAAAATGTGCCAACTGTGTTTTTAGTTAATACAGGTATAAAAGTATACATTTACAAACAAAAGGATTTAATTTGGGTTTGGAAAGTAAACTGTGGTTTTAATCATCTCCACTTCAAACTGTGAAGTAACAGTAAAAAAATCAAGCATTCACATCGTGATTTTGATGTTGATAACCTTGGCGGTGCTTGAAGCTTTCAGGTTAGCCCTGTGACAAAACAGTGATTTGGAGCAGAAAAAAGCTGATAGCCGATTAAGTCACAGTCAAATCAAAGTAATGCATAATTGACTAAATAAATCAGTTCATGTTAAACTCTACTTTTAATCATATTTGAAAAACTTTTTAAAATTGATAAAAATATATTCAAATATCAGAGATGTTTTCAATTTATATGTATTCAATATCGGTACAAATCTGCATAAATGATATAATTTGCTAGCAAATATGTTTAGATTAATGAGCTGAGAAAAATTTGGACAAATTTAATCATCACAAAGTTAGATATTAGGCCTATAAAAAGCGAACCAAACATTAAATTTAAAGAGGCTAGATTATCTTATACATGACATGCATTACTTCTGCAGGTTGTTTTTTTGCCAATTCTTTTGCCAATTTTGATAAACTAGGTTTGTCACTTTCAATTTAAAAAAAATGGAGAGATCATCTTGAAGTGTGATTTCATGATTTCATTTTTTCTCTCATTTTTTTTACATTGACGATGGGCTGCTCAGGGCTAGCCAAGATATCTATTGTTTGGCATCCTGTTACACAATTAAGTGCCCATCTTACAAACCCTTTGTGTTTGTGCATCAAAGGATAAGGAGGAGCCTGAATTGGTAGATTTAAATTGCTGACTATGTAGTTAGCTGGCTGGATTGTGTGAAGACAAAACACTACATTGGTAAGTAAAATAACAACTAAATAGTTTATTTTCCTCTATACCTGCCTGTATTCAATCGTTTACATTTGTACTAAACTGTAGGCCTTGCTGTAAATTCAGTTGTTACTGACATTAAGACTACTTATAGGCCTTGCTGTAAAACAGTTATTGTTTTTACTGTGATTTTCTAACCCTTTACCTCCATTTATGTCCAGTGCTGCAGTAAAGGTGCAAGATAGTTTATTCTTTCACTGCTTGTTTATATTAGATATATACATAATTTCACACAGGTTCTGACCTGCCATATTTTTTAGCTTGTATACTTAACCATTGACCTTTGTAACATTTAATATAAGGCCCTTAACTTGACCTACTTAAATAGAAAAAATGGGGTGTTCCTAAACTTTTGATGGGCAGTGTAGATAGATAAGTAAAAAATCATCAGACTATGGTCTGCCTTAAAGATGGAACTAGAATGGCACTCAATGGCCAACAGTCTTCTAACAGTGGCCAACAGTCTTCTTAAATTAAATCAGGCCACACCAAATTGCTTACTCTCTTAGATAGCAGTCCACTAAATATGCCTGATTTTCTCACTACACACACATCAAAAATACACTGCCTGGCCAAAAAAAAGTTGCCATGTGGATTTAGGCAGATGAAGTGATGCGCCCATCATGCCTAGTGCCTACTTTACAAGCCTGTGGGGGCAGTGTTATGATCTGGGGTTGCTGCAGTTGGTCAGGTCTAGGTTCAGCAATTATGTGCCCAAAGAATAAGTTCAGCTGACTACCTGAATATACTGAATGACCAGGTTATTCCATCAATGGATTTTTTTCTTCCCTGATAGCAAGGGCATATTCCAAGATGACAATGCCAGTATCTACCAAAGAGTGATTCAGGGAGCATGAGACATCATTTTCACACATGGACTGGCCACCACAGAGTCTAGACCTTAACCACATTGAGAATCTTTGGGATGTGCTGGAGAAGGCTTTGCGCAGTGGTCCAACTCTCCCATCATCAATATAAGATCTTGGTGAAAAATTAACAGCAACACTGAACGGAAATAAATCTTGTGACATTGCAGAAGCTTATCGAAACAATGCCACAGCGGATGCATGTGTTAATCAAAGCTAAGGGCGGCCCAATGAAATATTAGTGTGTGACCTTTTTTTAATTTATTTTTTTGGTCGCCACTTTTTTTTTGGGCCAGGCAGTGTATCACATAAGCATGTTTATGTATCTTCAATTTTTCAGTTAAATTTTATTTGTATAGTGCCAAATCATAATATTCATTATCACAGGACACTTTACATAGAAGGTCAAGACAATACAATCTTATTTAATATAAAGAAACCCAACAGGTCACACAATAAGCAAGCACTTTGGCGACTGTGGAGGGTATAGACTCTCATTAACAGGAGTAACCCTCTAGCAGAACCAGGCTCAATGTGGGCAGTCATCTACCTCGACCGGTTGGGGTGAGGAGAGAAAAATGGGAGGAGAAGGGAGTTGGGTGGAATAGTGGGGAGAGACCAGGAACACTTGTGCACCACCAGGTATCAACTCTGACTAGTTATGAAAAAAACAATAACAGTGTTAAAATGTAATTGATGATTAATGATAGCAGCAACATTTTATATCATAATGAATTACTAATAGGTATTATTGTTAATAAAAACAATAATAATAATAATAATAATTATAACTACCCTGCATTTCTGAAGTCAAAGATACCTGCAAAGATACCCAGCAGTCTAGACCTATAGCAGCATAACTAAGGGATGGTTCAGGACTCACCTAATCCAGAACTAACTATAGGCTTTATCAAAAAAGAACGTTTTTAGTTTAACCTTAAATGCAGAGATGGTGTCTGCCTTCTGAACCCAGAGTCGGAGCTGGTTCCACAGACTCGAAGAACAACAAGAGAGCCTGTGTTTTGGGAACAAAGTGATCTATTTGGATAATATGGTGTTATGAGCTCTTTGGTATATGAAGGGGCTTGATTGTTAAGGGCTTTATATGTGAGGAGCAGGATCTTGAATTCTATTCTGA